CGCCCGCTGCGGTGGGGAACGAACCCGCCCGGGTCCCTGCGGCGGGGACCGCCCGCCGGGGCTGGGGCACGGAGGGATGCGCGGCCTGATCCGGCCCCCGGGCCCTGCCCGCCGCCCCGCTCCGGCGGGAACTGCGGGAACCTGGCAGGCAAGGAGGGTGCGGGCTCCGTGCAGAGCCCCTTGCACCGTGGACACGGCCGGGGCTGCGGGCAGGCGCCCGATCCTGCGCTGCGATGTTGAGCCGCGGGTGGGGAAGGGTCCTGCAGGGCACGGACGGCACAAGGACCGACTTCAGGCTCTTGTCACACCGGGGACTGTCACCGACACCCCTGGCAGTGTGACCCGGACCCTGCCCTGTGCTGGGGGTGAGCGGAGGTCTGGTTGCCACAAAGATGGGGCCAGTGGGCAATAAAACAAGACTGGCTTGTTAATAAACCCTGGCAGAGTATCCGGATTTATTAGCTGAGTTTAGTGTCTTAATAACCTGGGAGGCCATTTATTAAAAAAAAAAGAAAAAAAAAAAAAGGCTGGATAAGTCAGTTAAGGATAAGTCAGTTAATTAATAAACTGGCTGGGTGAATAATAGTGCAAAAATGGAGAATTAACATGAAACATCCCATTCATTGCTCCTTCCTCAAATTACACCTGGGCAGGTTGAAGGGAAAAAGGCTGTTCCGTTCCCTGGGCTGTCTCCTTTTCCCTGGCTCTCCTGGGACTGTAGGGTAGGTCCAGCCGTGAAGTGGTGGTGGCACCTAAGGGTGTAGAGTAAGCCTCCAGTGCTACGGGCTGTGTGCACTCTTCAAGCATGTTATTAAATGCAGGGGGAAAAAAAAAATCTCTGTTTGTTGGGTAGTGAAACACCTTCCTGCTCCTCTGCAGAGGCCACGTTGTCCTCGGAGGGTCTGGGTCTGTGGGTGTATCTCAGCATCCAGGCAGCTTCACGCAGGGTTGTGTTTCACCAGAGCAGGATCACACCACTGCACCTGCCCCTGTGGCTGTAAGCACAGCTTCTGGCTGGGATAATGTAGAGATATTTGTGGATCAAATTTGCATTTGTGCATCAGCCCCATCCCTCTCAAGTGCAGGATCCACCCCAGAGCTGGTTGTCTCCAAAACCCTGCTGAAAGGAGACAAATCCCAAATCATGGGTATGAGAACAGCTTGTGGAGGGAGCTTTTGGGCTGTGCTGGGATGCACGGGAACAGCGTGTCAACAGCTCTTGTGTGAAGCAAGAGGCTGGCTTCCTGGGATAGCTCAGGGGGAAGCCTCTGACCCAAGATCTGCTGGACCAGGCCCTGGAGAGCCCAAAGCAGGGTAGAGGCAAAGAAGACATGTGGAGGTGTAACAAGGATGCAGCAAGAGCTGCCAAAGCTGCAGATTTTTAAATCAGTGACCGCTGTCCCAATCCATATTCTCGAAAGGTGTTTGCTCCCGCTGCTGGGGAGCCCTTTGCAGTGGGGATCGTTTCTCCCCAGGCTCTCTGCTTTAGTACTTCAGCAATTTTCTGGCTGTGAAACTTTTCTTGCTCCAGTTTGCTTCCGAGATTTGTCATCCCAAAGACAGCAAATCACTCTCCACTCTCTTTGCTTGCCTGGGCTGCACATGAGGAGGGTCTGTAGGTCCCTTTCAGCCTTCTTCTTCCCTCACTACACAGCCTGGCTGCTTCCATCTCCTCTGAGCCAGGTTTCCATCCTGACTGCTTTCAGGGTTTTCTTCCAAATGTCCTCCTGTCTCAAAGCACAGGGACCAAGCTGGATGCAGAGCTTGAGCTGATGCCTCCCTGAAGCAGAAGGATGAAGCTTTGCTTGCTTGCAGCTGCTCTACCTGCCTGTACCTCCCCACGCACATCACTTCTGACTTGGGGACTTGTGCTCAGCTTGGGGTCTTTTCTCCTCTCCATGCTGCTTCTCCCAGGCATCCTGCTCCTTGTCTCCTGTTATTTTCACCGCCATGTAGACTCTGTGATCAGACCCTGTTCCTCATCCATCTTCAGATCCTTGTTTCAGTCCATTGGGAATGTTTGGGTTCTCAAGTGTGCCCTCAGCCTTTCCTCTTGTGGGCTCGCTGCAAGCTCCGAAAGCAGGTCTCTGCAGCGTGCCTTGTCCCTGCAGTCACCAGGACTGGCCCCAGCTGCACGTTATGGCTGTCTCTGGGCTCACATTGCCCCGGTGTGCTGGCTGTGGCGTGGGGATGGGGACAGTGGCGTGGGTATGCAGGGACAGGACAGGGCACCTGCCTAGGACGTGCTGCCCACCCAGCCCTTCCTTACGTCTCTGAGGAGGGTGGTGGGCCGGGCAGGAGCCTCCCGCTCTTGGCACAGGGCTCCTGGGCTGCCTGTCATTCCTAGGTGCCCTGGCCCAACACCCAGCCTAGACAGATGGACGGACCTGCCTGGCTGAGGTTTCCCAAGTGACTGAGCACAAGTGTCCATGCTGCTGGTGCTGGTCGTGTTTAGCTCTCCGGGTAGCAGTGGGCAGGTATTTGGGAGAGATGCATCTGAAGAGATGCATCTGAGAGATGCATTCCAAGGGAGGTCACCCTTGTGATTTATTTATGAAAGATTCCAGGACTAAATCATGAATTCCTTCTTTAGCTGCCTGTGTAGAGATGTTTTGCAGGCACAGTCTGGTTTTGTCTCCTGGGGACAATCAGGGTGGGGGAAGGAGCAGGACAGCCCCTGAACTGAAGCCGCAAGCTTTGCAGGGGTGCATTGCACACGCTCACCCCGCTCTCACCTGCGTATGGGGGAGGTAGGATGCTGGGGAGACGGTCTGAGACAGCAGCTACCCTTAAGAACCTGGTCTGGGTTTGGCTGCTGGGGTTGCTCAGAGAAGCGCTCCTGCTGCGGTGCAAGCGAGTGCCGTGCCTTTCTTCCTAGCTGCCTCTGTGGAGCCGCAGCCAGAGGCTGGCTGGCCCTGCTGCCCTGCCTCTGCTGCAATGCAGAGTGAGAGGGCTGGGCGGGAAGGCTTGAGTGCAGGAGCAGGTATGCCCTCGCTGCAACTGGCGGGATGCTGCCTGCAGCCTGGGTCCCTGTCCTAGGGCTTTGAGCACCTCCTGAACTGCACAGGGGGAGCATTTGGCACCAGGGTACCGTGCCTATCAGTATTTCTGGGAGTGGTGACATATAGCTGCAGGCTCTCAGGCAGAGCAAAGCATTCCCTGTGGGGGACCTGGCACTCAGACAGCTTTCCTGGGACACCGCTTGTCTGCGTCGCCTGCTCGCCACCTTGATGGCTTGGAGCCCAGGCCAAAACCTGCCTGCAGGGGTGGAGAGCCGGCTGATGGGCTGTGATGGGCTAGGAGAGCAGGCAAGACAAGTCATATCAAACTACTTCAAAAAGCAACGCCTTCCAAGGCTCACCGGGTGCACAGCGGTCTGGCGTCAGCACGAAACACGGGCTGGAAAACAGCAGGCAAGCAGCAATCAGGGGTCAATGGTGCAGCAAGCAGCTAGAAAACCAGGCAAGCAGCAATCAGGGGTCAATGGTGCAGCAAGCAAGGGGCTACCAGAGGCAGCAAGTGCCCTTACACATGGTGCCCCATGGACAATGGTCAGGGCTGCCAGCAGGCCAGGAGAAGCCTCTGGTGATGGCCCCGATGCTGGTGAGACCACCTCTCCCCCTCCCAGCCCTGACATCTGGAGAAACACCTCCAAAGCAGACAGGGTGCTAATTTCCTCTCCTTTATCTGCTAGCCCACAAAGTTAAGTGAACTATAGCTAAACAAACCAAATTAAAACCAAGTGGGTTAATATCAACCTAGGATTACCCTTGTTATCAAGTAGACGGAACTGTATCAAATAAACCAACAGTTCTTTATAAGCTTTATCTAATTATCCAGGAGGCAGCTGACTTGTAGAGCTCTTGGCCTCAGACTCAGAGGGCATTCCCGGCTCCAGGCCAAGCAATTTATTTACTGATACTGCAGCCAAATGCTGGGCACCCGTCAGGGGGTCTGAGCCCTGCCAGGCTGAAGGGATGAGATGAGCTCTGATCCTGGATGTAGGACTGGAGGAGATGGCTGAGCAGATACAAAATCCTTTGGCAAGCAAAGGTGTGATGCTGAGGCAGTCATTGGTCTTCTGGTAGGAGCTGGATAAGGGGGAGAGCCTTCCTGAAGGGTTATTCTGTCTGTGGGATGGTGGTTGCGATGGGGATGGGCTCACAGCTCAGCTGGCAGGGACTGGGGAAGGTGAGTCCTGGGGGGATGATGTCCATGTCCACGTGGTGGCCTGCCACAGGACCAGGAGGGGACAGGACTCCACCAAGCACACCGGCAGGACAGGCTGGAGCTACCAGCAGCCACGAGGCATCATTTCCTCTTTGTTTGGGAAACTGGAACCTACCTCATACTCTCAGACTCCAATTCCTCCTCCTACCTTTGCTGCTTCCCCAATGAGAAGCTGAAGACCCTCTTCCCTCCATACTCTCCCCATGCAAAGAAGCCGGAGCCTTTCAGGGAAGCTGACAGCAGGTGAGGCCAGAGATGTTGGTGGTTCAGGTCCACGCTGCGCTGCTGCTGTGGGTGGCTGAAGGTCAGGTGGATCTTAAGGCTGTGCCAGTTTGGACTCAACCCATCTCATCTGCAGACAAAATCTTTAATGGGTCGCAGTGGGGAGCAGTGGTGATGGGTAATAGTGGCTGCTGAAGGGTGTATTGTCAGAGGAGGTCACAGGTTAGGTGGCCAGCTATACCTGTGTAGGCTGGGCTTTGGACTGCTGGTGGCTTGAACTGGATGAAAACACCCCAGAAGGGTTTGAGGGATTTTTTTGTCAGCACTGGGACAGGAGGCAGGGTGGATTTCCAGGGAAGTCAGGATCTGTACGAGGTTTGTAATGGATACCGCTGCACTGAGCCCAAATTGGAGACACTGAGATGGAGAACCTGGGGCTGGCAGAGGGACCATGCTCCAGTGGGTTGGTCCCCTGCATTGGCAGTTACTTCGGATAGATTATGTTTGGATTTACCTGGCTTTTGGGCAAACTTTCTGTTCTTTTCCCTGCTAGGCCAAGCAGTCCTCAGCATCTTACCTGGGGAAGAGTGAGTCCATTGCGGGGGTGTTGTTAAAGCAAGTTGCCTTCCAGTCTCCAGTGAACCTGGACAGATTGAACTCCCCCAGCTTTTGGGGTTGAGACTCACTTCTATGCCTCCACTCTTCCCATGTCTGTTTTTAGTCTGGCCACATCTGGCCTTGCAGGAGGAGGCACAGAGGAGCCTTTTGGGGTCGTCTGAAGGATTTCTGTGGTCCCCAGAGCCAGGATGTGGTGCCCTGGGCTCTGCTTTGGAGTGGGGAATTCAGGCTGCAACATGATATTTTTTTCACCCCTGGAAACACAGCCTTCAGCTCCAAAAAGTACAGAAGTCCTGGATTACTGGATGCTGGGATGTGGGCACACCCTCTTCCCTTCTCTTTCCTACACTCTGTTCCCAGAAAGAGGGACCCTTCCCTGAGCCGGTGCAGCCAGCCTGTGCAGAGCAGCCCCTGCTTCAGGGAGGGACTGAGGCACCGGGTGCCCCAGTGCACCCTCCCGTCTCTGGCAGCAAAGAGGGGTTGCTGGGTGCTGGGGCCCCCGAGCTGCCAGGTGCCGCCTGGGGCTGCTTTGTGTTGTGCTCCATGCCAACGTCGGATGAATGAATTTCCCCTCCAGTTCTTTCTGATCTGCATCTCTGGTCTTCACCCCTGAGGAGCTGAAAGGAGCGTTAGCTTGGGCTGCCCCATGGCTGCAGATGCTGGTCCCCATGGCTGCCGAGGGGAGCCTTCCTGGGTCCGTTTGGTCTCATGTCCCTGCCGAGGATTTGTACAGCCAGACATCCATGGCCAGCCAGAGCCCAGACGGCAGCCGAGCTCTGCAGAGCTGAGCCATCTCTCATCTGACATTCATATTTGTCCTGGCAATCCTTTGAGCCTCTGTTTTGGTTTTAGCCTTGAATATGTTTTGTGTGCAAAGTAACGCACCGTGTGTGTATCAGCGCCATCGGCACAGCATGCCTCTATTCAGTCCCTAGTTTAACCAGCCAGTGGCTGCAAGTTGGGTCCCATGGGCTGTCTCTCCTGACCCTGTGGGGCTGCAGGCGCAGGCGGGGTCGTGTCCATCCCCGCTCCCACAGGAGTTTGCAGAGCCCCAGCCCAGCCTAGGCTCTGCCTGTTTGACTCGTCCCGCCCAGCATCCAGGTACTTGGGATCAAACCCAGATCGTGATCAGTTAATTCCCCCTTCATAAATTCCTGCCTCATGCGTCATTGTTGTGTTTGTGAAGGGCTCGGTGGACACCTTGGGAGATGGGCAGGTCGGGATCAAAGCTGGAATCTGGGGGAGATAACGTGGATGATGCCCCATGCCCTGCAAAGTGGGCGAGCTGGAGCGACCCTTACCAAGCAGGGGATGTCTCTGGGGCCACGATGCTCTGTCTCGCCCCCCGAGACGCAGCACCAGGGATGTGCCAAGGATCTTTCCCATTAATGTGCCCCCCATGCCACGCTGGCACTTTACTCCCAGCTGCAAACCTCTGGGTGTGATTGCCACTGCGGTGCTGGGAGAAGCAGTAAAAGCTGAACCCCGGGGGGACAATAAAGCCAGCGGAGAGGAGATAAGCAGGGATCAAACACGGCGCGGCAGCCACCCCACGCTGGACTCTCAAAGGTCCCTTTGTTCCCGCTGCCTCCTGATTCAGCGCCGCGCTGCCTTCAAGGGCTGCGGGCGAGATAGCGGGGCTTGCCGGCAGCCCTGCCGCCGCAGCCCCTGGCAGTTGGGCAGCCACCTGCGCGGCCCGGCAATAAAAAAGGAGGTTTAATTTCAGTCACAGGACTGATCCCAGTTGCACACCGAGGCCTGATAACGTATCTCGCTGGTTCCTATCAGCCAGGCAATAAAGTCATTATTGGGGCGGGAGATGATAGAAGAGACGCTCGCCTTCCTCCTCATCCCGGGCTTGCTGGGGGGATGTCCCCCGCAGCCCCCAGCCCCGCTGTCCCCTGACCCCTGCCCGCTGTCTGCCCCGCAGCCGCCCCGCAGTCTGGCTTGATGGGGAAGTGCCGTCGGCCCCGCACAGCCTTCACCAGCCAGCAGCTCCTGGAGCTGGAGAACCAGTTCAAGCTCAACAAGTACCTGTCCAGACCCAAGCGGTTTGAGGTGGCCACGTCACTGATGCTCACCGAGACGCAGGTACCTCCTTGGTCCTGGGAGGGATGGAGGATGGCACCAGCCGGCTGCCAGGGAGGTGGGGGGGCTGCGCTGCAGGGTGGGAAGTCAAGGTCATGGGCAAAGCTGATGCCCCTCACTTGGCTGCCATCAGCCTCACACCCCACTGTCCCCATCAGCACCCCTTGCCAGGGCATCTCCTGGGATGCCTGATGGGCTCCAGGCTCTTCTCTTGTGAAGGGCCCCCCCAGAAATACTTCTCCTCTTTTTACCCACCACCCCAACTTAGATTTCGGAGACTTCCCATCCCTTCCCAAACTGTGAGAGGGGGCTTTTTTGTGGGGCTAAAACTCCTCTTTTAATGCCTCTGCGCATGTCCTTGGGCATCCTGGGGGACTGCTGGTCCCCGCTGTCCCCAACCTCCCCCCACGGAGGCTGGGCAGGGGGAAGGGAGCAGCCCCCCGGTACTCCTCTCCCTGTGACATCCTCAGCCTCCTCACAGACCCGCAGCACCATGGGATGCCCTGAAATAAAGAGGCTTTGGGGGTCCCTCCATGCAGGGAAGGCGGGGGGGTGAGTGGGGACAGGATGGGGCAGGGGGACACATTCTCCCCTGGGGACTCTCCCTTGGCAGGTGAAGATCTGGTTCCAGAACCGCCGCATGAAGTGGAAGCGGAGCCGCAAAGCCAAGGAGCAGGGGGCTCAGGCGGAGGCCGAGAAGCAACGAGGGCTCAGCAAAGCCTGCGAGAAGCTGCTGCCCGGTGAGCCCCGAGGACAAGCTGCCGAAAGCCCCGAGTTCATGGGGCGCAGCCCTGGCTCGGGCTTCCTGCACCGCAGCACCGCCGAGCTGGGCTACGGCCCAGACTCCTCCTGCTCGGGGGGCGAGGAGGAAGAAGAAGAGGAGGAGGAAGAGATGGGTGCCACGGAGAGGAAGATTGGCTCTGTGTTGTGAAAGGCGGACGGAGCCGGCCCGGGAGAGGGGCTGGGCTGCGGTGTCAGGGGTCTCTTTGCTGGCAGACACGGACTGTGCCCGGGCGGAGCGGTGGGGGCTGCAGGGCACCTGCTTCCCCCTTTAACTTATGTGTATTTGGATCCTATTTAACTCGTAATTATTCCTCTGTGTGTATCTGGGGGAGTCCCCACATCCCTCCCCTATAAAGCTGTTATCCGGATGCCTGTGCTCTTCCTTAGGGGATGGGAGGCTCTGCCCCCCTCCTGCCACTGCGCTGCCCTGCTGGGGTCCCTGGGGAGCCGGGTGGGGACAGCAGACGCGCACAGCTGGCAGCCCGCTGGCACAGCTGGAGGGGAGACCCCGGACCTTCCTTCGACTGTGCACTGCCCCTTCCCTGCAGATATGACAGTACCTGGAGCAGCGCATCCCTGCGTGATGCCAGCTGCCCTTCCCTTTGGTGGCATGAAGGGCTGGGAAGGAGGATGCCCAGGATGCCTGCCTGCCTGCCTGCCCTGCCTCCACCCTGCATCCCTGGTGGGGTCTGCGCTTTGCCAGGCAAAATTAAGCTGCCTTGCAAAGCAGAGCTGATTAATTGGCTAATGCAGCGGTGCTGTTTCCCATGTTGCAATGAGCCTCGTTGCACTGGTGTGGCATTGCCCTGAAGCAAGGTGGGAATGGAGCCCTCCTGGGTTTAGGGTGGTGCTCAGGCTGTTTGTGAGGGCTCGATGCTGTGCCGAGCCCCCCTTTTCCCATGGTGATATATAAACCCCACTCAGCCCTTTTCTGGGCTCATTCCATGATCCTCCGGGGGCTCTGCTCGCTCTGGCTGGGCTCAAATCAACCCCTGGCAGCAGGATGACAACAGACACCCTCTGCCACCTCCCTAGAAGCACTAGGGTTAAGCCCTGCCCCCCCCTAAGTGAGCAGGCTGCCCTTGTCCTCAGGATGCTGGAGGGTCCCGGCAGACCCTAGGGAAGTCCCACACCTCCTGCACGCTTTCTGGGCCTTCCCTTGGGGATGCTGAGGTGCCCGTGCAGGCAGAGGGACCAGCCCCGCAATGCCCAGCAGCCCTGCTTCACCACCCCAGTGCACGTAGGGCTGCAGGAGCACGGCAGGCTGGGCTGGGATGCTCCATCCCTCCTGCCCCACGTCCAGCTGTCGTCTCCTCTCTCCTCCTTGTCCCTGGCTGGGGGTGGCAGGGAGAGCTGCCTGCCCCCGGGACCTGCTGTGGGTCAGCTCCGGCAGCCGGTCGCCCAGGGATCGGACAGGTAAGCGTTGGTGCGGGGCTGTCACAGCCCGCAGGGCTGGGTGACGCCTGGCAGCGGCTGGGGCTGCTGCGGGGCCGGAGTGGCAGCACCCGGGGCAGGGGGACAGATGCGATGCTTTTGGGACAGAGGAATGGACAGGGGAAGCAGGTGCTGGGAGAGAGGAGCGTGGGGATGGGTGGGTGGATGGACGGACGAACGACAGTCCTGTGTGGGGTGACAGTGACCCGCAGCGGCTGCTGGCAGCTCAGCAGCTTCCCCCTGGGTGTGTGACACCCCCGATGCCCAGGTCCCCTGTCCCCAGGCAACCCACCCCAGGGCTGGGCAGGGCCCGGCTGCCCGTACAGGAGGTGTCCGGACCCCTGGCACTGCCCGGCGGGGAGCTCTGGTCCGGGGGAGGGTGCAGCCCTTGCTCCAAGGGGGGAGATGTGAGCCAGGGCAGGGGCCAGGTGCCAGGAGCCTGCGATGACTGGTGTAACACAGAGGAGAGGAATAAATGTGGGGAAGGGGGGGAGGGAGAAGTAGGAAAGGATGGTACCCAATTCCCCGCCATTGCCCTGTGGGGACAGTGGGGCAGGAGAGACCCGCTGCCCCGGGGGAGCTGTGCCCCCCCCAGCAGGCACACAGGACTGGGCACGGAGCTACTGGCAGATGCCAGCCCACGGCTGCAGCAGCCTCAGGGCCAAAGACATCTACCACCCGATGTACAACCTGGTCCTCCGGCAGCAGGGGAGCATGGAGAGGACCACAGGCTGGAGCTGGGCACACCGGGGTGGGGGTGAGATGGAGGGGACAGGGATGGCAGGGGCAGAGAGGAAAAGGAGAGATGGAAAGCAATAAAAAAAAAAGAGTGCCAGGAAGGAGGAGGGGAGCTGAAGGGATGTCACAGACTTAAAACATTCACCTTGATGGGCTGTGACAGGTTTAATTTCCAGAGTACAACCATTAAAGTGATGGATGGGAGGCGTTCATCTCGCGCCTGGCACACACGGGCCCTCTGTGGCTGCAGGAGGGTTTGTTTTGTTGCTGTTATTTATGGGGTTGTTTCTACAGGAGCCAGGCACTCGTCCAGTGCTGGGGGGACAGAGGAGGGGACAGGATTGATGCCGGGGGAGTTGGGGTGCTGATTTACGGCTGCTTAGCCAGATGACTCATGTTGTAAACATCGACAAATGCCATTAAAGCTGCATCTCCTTCCTGCCTCTGCCCCGGCACCCTCCCCATGCTGAGGGATGTGGCCAGCCCCGCTCTCCGCCATGCTGCTGCCTGGGCACCCCGGAGGGGCTGTCTGGCCCTCCCCACCAAGGACACAAAGGTTCCCCCCTCCTTGAGGGACATCCAGGGCCCTGGGAAGATGCAGGAGTGACCCACGGTGGCGGCGGTGCCCCATGGGAATGGTACCCGGGATACCTGAGGGGGCTGTGCAGCCGGGGCTCCCTGGCCTGTGTCCAGGTCCCTTTGCCGGTCTTGGCCCCATAACTGCTTTTGGCAACGGTCACAACTTGTTATTTGTGTGACCGATGCTCCAGGGGCTTGGGGTGACCTGGCCCCATTCAGGTGCCACCCCATCCCTCTGCCAGCACTCTCCAGCCTGCAGCACTCCGTGCCCCCTCGCCCCCCGCAGCATCCCCCCCTTAGCCCCGCAGCCTCCTCACCCACCCATCCCGCGCACCCCCGTCCTTCACGG